GGGGTTGGAGCCTAAGATAATTTATGCACTGCAAATTTTCACATACAATTTATGATTGATATACATACTTATATGTAGGCCCACTGCTAATACCTTCACGTGCCGGCAACGACATTGACCTTTCCAACAGCCAAGATCAAATCATTTTATTTTTAGAAATATTATGATCTTCGGAATAAATGTCGATTTTTGTGATAATACTATCATCGCATGTTCATGCCTTTTCAAATGAAAGTAATAAGTTCAAACGTACAGATTTGCAGAGAGCCGATCCTTCCATCTGTGTGGCAAGTATTTTAGTTCCATGGCATCCATGTACCCAATAATGTGTGCTCGGACATCCACAATTGAGGGAATGGGCAAATTTTATTTAGAATCATTGCTGCACATACAAGATCGTGACAATTTCGATCTGTTTGTAAGCAATGCGACTGGAATATCTGAGGTTAGAATTATTTTTGTTCGTGTAAAGATAAAAACATATTGAAAACGTATTTTCATGTTATAATTATACCCTGCATGTCCTCCTGGAATGGGGCATTCTAATATCAAGATGTATTGCAATAATACCAAAACTGTGTTAGAACGATCTTAATTGCACCATATTGTTTTAAAGAACAGACTCCAGGCACAATTAGAATTATATAATTGTTATGTGGAAGAATAATGTTATGGATGCAACCAATCAAAATGCATAGATCACTGTATGATAGTTTCCATGTAAAGTGAAGACAATTTTATCATTTTAGCACTTATGCCAGATATGGATAAGAATAGCAAGATTCGTATGTTGTACAGGGTTTACTGTGAAATAAGCTATATTTAGGTGATTTGCAATACACACATTTATATCATTGCCTTAAGCAAACTGTTGATGCGAAGGGAAGACTAGAAGACCATTATTATGGTTCCCTGAAAATTTTTCAGTTCAATCGACCAAAACAATCTTTAAAATGATATTCGACTTGACAACTAAAGCAAATATGAGAAAATATTCTATTATCCAATAATGTCGAAACAAATGTAACGATTATACGCGACACAAAATTAAGTACCTTATATAACATTTAATAACAAAAGATAACTGAGCTAATCACTTTGGAAGCCTATAAAAATCAAATTGTCCAATAAATGTGGTGCTTATATTCAATCTGTGTGCTATCACTATGAAAAGTTATTAAAACAAGGGAAATCTGTCCAAAATTAAAAGTGCATATCTTTAATCTTTGTGCTATAAATATGCAAAGTTTGAATAATTGTGGAAGAAAAATTGGTAGGCCGACGAGGTGAAGAGCGGACGGATGGACAGACAGAATGACGGACTGACGAAATAGAGCGTTTACTTCAATTGCTCTTAGTTATGAACGAATATATAGTGACACTTTTTACAATGCTTGCATGGAAAACTTATAACTGTGAAAGATATATTTAATAACATACACTTATCGTTGAATGAAACTAAATCTTACCAGACGTTTTTGAAACAGACCACCACTGTCCTATCATAAGCACTGAAAATAAATTGAAGTGAAGAATCTAAAAGTATCTATTTATTTGTAATATATTAGAAAATAGTAAATAATAATATTTTACTTTAAAAACAATACGATGTAGAACTATACGCAATTCGGCAGTATTAGGGATTTTAATAAAATTTGTATACATTAAAAACTGATGAATTGCATGTAAATATTGAGTGAAAAACCGATTTCTGGTACATTTTTACCTAAAGCGTTACAATGAATTCAATACTTTGTGAAATAGAATGAAAAGATTGATGCGAGTATTTCAATTGAAACGCAAGCTGTAGAATATGACATCAACTTTAATACATATGTAGGACTCTTAACCGCGATGTCCACGTTGACTTGCGATGGTTTGACGCTGAAGTGCGTTTATTTGTTTTGACGATGAAGTGCAATGGTCGGAAGCTGAAGTGCAAATTTGTTGTCACACTGAAGTTCGATGGCTGCATTGTGATGAAATATTGTTGATAGCTACACCGGAGTGCACTCGTGGTTATACAGAATTGCGATGAATTACATAAACAATATTTTCAATGTTTTTCATGTTTACTTGTTTAAAAGTCGATGTAGAAGTGCATTTGTTTGTTACATGCAGCTTTTTAGGTTTTTAGTAAAGCATTGAGAGTATAACCTGTTTAAATTAAAACAATCATGATGAATAGTTATTGCATAGGCTTGGACATGTGCAACAATAAGCCAATGATCATACAATCGTTCAAGACCATTGCACGTCAGTGTCACCAGCGCACTTCAACGTCCTAATCACACCTCCATAAACTATGGCACCCGTCACACCCCGAGTCCTACATACATATCATACTTATGTAATGCAGATTGCATTGGAATTTTGCAACATAAAAAAGGAAATGTTTACATAGGAAATATTAAAATAATCTCTTGTGCGTAAAAACAAAATGTTTCCCATATCATTATTGCGACGAGAAAATCAATATCAGCAATACACCAATGAGGATAATTAGTTACACCAATAAAGGAGATATTCCAGGAATGAAAGCAAAACATAATTGCAATGTGAAATAATACCTTCTGGAGCAATCGAGTTCATCTTTTGTTGTTGATTGGGCTCGTGTTACTCAGTCTAGTTTTCTATGTGGTGTTCTGTAGGCTGTAGGTTGTTCTCTTTTTTTTAGCAATGTTTTAGTTGGTCACTCATCGACTTGTGAGTTTTAATGCCCTCTTGTTATCTTGGGCGTTATACATTTTGGGGATTATTTTTTTACAATTGCGCACGATATTTTGTTATATTTGCACGTATTCATTTTACAGGTAATACAGGTTAATATAAAGATAATTCATAATAAATATTTTTCAATTTTCAATTTTCAATACACATGTCTTTCATATGATTTTAAAAACATATTGAGTGATCCTGAGATATCCCGTATGCGCTTATGGCATTATCGGCCTGATCCTGCTAGAAACGTATCTGTCACCACCGCGTTGGTGAGTAGGGTAATCCAAACCACCGCGCAAATGTACTGATTTTTGCGAGGAAATTATACGGTAACGCATGCAAATGTAAAAGTAATGCTCGCAAATGTAGAGGTAATGCGCGAAAATGTAAAGGTAATGCGAACAAATATAAAGGTAATGCGCTCAAATGAAAAGGAATGCGCGGAAATGTAATGCAATGAATCATTGGCTATCTTCCACCTCCTTTTCTGACTTCCTGAAGATAAAATGTAATCTTACAACGAGAGTGAAAGATCGTTATTCTATCGAATAAATTTAATGTCTACTTACACAAACCAAAAAGTCTCAGCACACGAGGAACGCGTGTTGTAATGATCATTATGAATTTCGATGATACATGGAGCAACAGATACAGATCAAATTCCAATGCCTTAGATGTTTTTTTCTTTTTGGTTAATCATATAAGGGATTTTCAATTTAAAGTAACACATAAGCAATGAAATGGGAAAACTTATTATTCAGACGGGTTGGTAATTAAACTTGATCATGTCTTTAAAATAACAACAAAAGAATAATTAATTAAATAAACATTTTTGATAGATTCCTTATTCATCTATAAGTTGAAAATCGTACTGTTTTCCAATAAGCACATGCTATTTTCTCATGAAAACATGATAAATTTTAAATGTATTTTGCATGATGCCAATATACTTTTTGTATGGTATCTATCAATGAAGATACAGAGGACGAAAAACAATCGAACATTGAAAATCTAGGTTAAAAATACCAGAGTCACACAAATTATGGGAAGTCAAAGTATGAGATAATGAAGCGTAATATTTCCTGATAAAAAAAAAAAACAAACGAAAAAACTCTTTATACAGTATTTGGAAACACATTGCTATATGTATAACAATTGATTGTTTGACTAAAACAGAAATATTTATCATGATATTTATAGAAAACTTATTTGAAATGTAAAACACATATATCCCGCGTAGCCCCAGAGCAAGGAAAAATGTTTGCATGACATATGACATGAACACCTTTTTCTTTAGGTTGTAACATTTGATTCAGATGCAGGTTTTGGTGTTGTTGTTAGTTTGGTCAATGTTATAGCGTATTAATGCCTATCTAGAAAAAAGACAAAAGATAAAAATCTGAATATGTGAATGAAACTTTATTCAACGAAAAACAATGGTCCTCAATTAAATAATATATACTCTTCAGTATTTATGTGTTTTGCTCATTGTATTGATGAAGGGCATGACATATAGCTGCTTGCATCAACGTCTCTGGTTGATAGTTGTCTTATATTCTGTTGAAAACATATTTACAACTTTTCATATTTCTCTTTCAGCATGTTTCAAGTTCTTTAATTTCACTTTCAGATATATTGATAATGTTCCAACACGGAGCAAGCCACATTCTAATGAGTGCTTACATCTCATATATATCCCAAATGAACTTAGAATTAAAAATACTGCCATAAGTAACAAGTCTGCTTCATATCTTTATCTTTCCCTTTTTAGGCAATAACCAAGACATTACGGTCAATACCAGTGAATTTACTTCACACCTTGGCCATTTTTTTAAGTCCGTCAATTATATCCTACAATTCATCGTATCATAGATTCAAATATGTGCTTTAAGGTTTTTATTACATTTTAATGAATTTTAAACATATATTCATATGAAATGCATGAAGAATGTTCAAATTGTACTGTTGACAAGTTTTGCCAAATTTTGAGTAATACCCAAAAACATGTATGAGTAGGAGTTAGCCTAAACCAAGATTTAGAAGTTAACAATGGTATTTATTTATTTGAAATAACTAAAAATTGTTGATGATTTGTATAAGCATATTAAGTAGACTCTTTACCAGTAGATTTTAACCGCTTTCATATTTTGATCATATGAGTGAAACAAATACGGTGAACTTTGGCCTACCTCCTAGTGTTCAGAATTTCAATACATAATATATGTTTTATACAGTGAATATGAAATTCCATATGATTAATTAAAAAAAAAAACAATTCATGATTATTTAACCTTTATTCATAAGTCGAATAACAATACATCAAGGAAAATAAGTACATTAGATATAATAATACCCAACACCATTGCTGTTAATTATAGGTTTCATAACGAGTGAAAATTGGATATCGCTTGATATCAACTCGAGTTATTTAGTTTCAAAATAATAATAAACTAGCCTTCGGCGAGTTTATAATTACTATTTAAATGAAATAACGAGAGTTGTTATTACGCGATATCCCATTCTCACTCGTTATGAAATGCTCACAAGTTGTTAAACCCATTTCTGTAATGGTCAACACTATCATCGTGTTAAATTAAAACTGCCGTGAATCGTTGATCTAGTCTTTTGCACATCCCAGTGTGAAGTCATATGTCATTTTCCGGTGTCAAACGTTAACATCAGACATTTAAAGACTTTTTGTACGCTTAAGAATAAAAAAAAATTGACAAAAGGAATATTGTCAGATGAAAAGTGTAAGTGTTTTATATATTATTGAAGAAATCGCATATGTCCGTTGCCATAGACGAAATGTACATCGTCTTAACCCTCTTGCTGCCAGTAGTTTTTTAAGGTTGCATTTCGTGTGCAACAAAATACGACAGCTCGATGTCTGTGACGTCGCATGCCCGACAATGACGTCATTCGATAAATGACGTCACGCCATAATGACCGTTACATTTGGGAGCCATTGAAGAAAAATGTAACACTGTTAAATCTTCGGTCTTTTATTTGAAAGAGATACAGCAATGAAGAGAAGCTTGTAAAAATTAAAACATGGACATATGTGTCCCTCTGGCACAGCTGATGTGGACACATGTGTCCCTCCAGCAGCAACCTTTGAAAGTCATCAATGACCTAACGAATAGCCAATGGAAATGCAGTAATATCGTCTTATGATGCTGGATAAGCCAATCAGATCAACACAGATTTGCGTACCACTTTTTCGTATATTACTCCGTGCAGTATGACACAAGAAATATCTACTCATGCAAGAAATAGATAACAGGCCATAACCATAAGAGAATACCCTTTTAACTTCCTGCAACAAATACTTATTACATCACTGTCGGTAAATCAACTGTTAATAAAAGGTTTAAATTTTTTGAAACCCCAAAAAGTAACAAGAATACTTGGTAGCTTGATAAGGAAAACATTATTAGAATTACAGTCTCCATGGCTGTTCATCGACACACATGTTCCAACATATTTAATTCGGATCCCAGTAAAGCGTAATATGAGAACGAATGAAACGTTTGGTGTCTAAATATTAAACCTGTTGTCTTTGATAAGCTTTCACAAAATTTATAAAATAAAGATAATAATTTATTTGTATTTCGTTCAAAAAACTAGATTCAAATTGTTGCTTTAGGCGAGGACATTATCAATATTGAAGTTGATACTACTATTCATTTGACAGTTCATCTTTAGCTCGATGAAGCCTTTTTATAAGTATCTATTATCTTTACTTCATTAAACAAATCATAAACTTATATATGATAACATAAAAATAATGACGTAGCTTCAAATTAAAATAACTTTGTTTTTGTCGGGGTATCTTGACGTGCTGTCTAGTACACATCATGGTTTATATTCATATCACGTTATCTTAGGCCAGAGAACACAGTTATTTCGTAGTGCATTTCTTTTAGACAATCTATTCAAATTAAAAAAAATCGCACCTGCTCTATCTCAAAAAGATTTTTACAGTGTAGTGTACTACTATTGATACAAATAATATCAAAATTATAGAAACTTCTACCAGCTCTAACTCAAAATATTGACAATTCTGTGTTAAGAGGGCTAAAATTCAGTTTGACAGCTTCAGATATTCTAATTTTTGACCTTTTTTAACTGGACCAAATCACTACTTAACATAAAGATTCAGCACCCAAATTTTTTTAACATGTAATTTCATCCCCTTACTTAATATTTCATGCATAAAACATCAAGAAATAAATTGGGAAAGTGTAGCAAAAGAAAATGCAAGTTATACACTGTTCACAGTAGGGACTATATTCGTAGACAACGAAAACCAAAGGACGATAACTGTGTCCTTGGACCTCATGTTCTCTTGCATTCCTGAATATGCATAAGAAGATTCCAGAATAGCAATTATAACACCAAGACGAGAACACAACAATTTATAAAAGAAATTCCAGAATATTGATCTAAAATTTTTAATGGGGTTAATTTCAGTCGAAACTTGAGGGGGATAGGTCAGCAAAGACATATAGACCAATGAAACGTACCAATGCATTTTGTCAAGCACATTCATTACGCAAGGAGAATGAAAATGCACCCAAACTCTTGTAAAGTGTATCTCCAATTGAAAATAAGAAAATTATAGATACTTAAAAAAATCATAAAAAGTGGTTAATATATACTTCTAAGCATCTTCAAACATAATTTCTTAATACAGACGCTGAGTTATATATAACGTAGGCAATGTAATGACGACCTAAGGAAAGTTAGAGTGGATGGAATGAACAACGAACAAGGTATTTGCAGAATATTACATTCTCTGTGATATCGACACGCAGTGTTCTATCAATCAGCCTACATTTTCTGTTAAAAATCTTCAGATGATTTTTTTTTATCAAAATTTACTAATGCTTAGCATGTTCTTGCAGTCAAGTACTTTCACAGAAAAAATCGGAATATGTCAAACTTGTCTTAACCACAAACTTCATCCTATTTTCCTTGAGTGTGACATTACTGAATACGACCGGTTTATTTCGATATCGTTGACATCCTCTCCTATTCAATAAGCCAAATATTTCTTCGAATAATGACGAAATTTCTTAACTAAGTTTGTTTTTAAATGAAAGATGTGCTCTGATCCTGAGTATCTTGATCCGATGTATCTATAAAAATAACAAAGATATATCAATTTTTAGCATAAGAATTGACAGTAAATATAAATACAAATCTGTTCCTATAAAAAAAAAATATTCAAAAAAGGAAAGATTGTCTATAATTCCATTAACATTATTAAACCTCATTATTTGAAAAAAATAAATCGATTTAGTGAACCCTTTTGAAGGTTTCTTACAGCTGTTATTTTTCTCTAATGACAAAAAGTATTTCAAATAATGTGGAACGATGTTTAGAAACAATGACAACTCATCTACATTACACTTCTGGTTCTAACTTGAAAATTTGTGAATAACAGATGACCGTAGACACCAATTTGTTTTCCATTCGTTTAATGTGTTTGAGCTTTTGAATTTGTCAGTTGAAAAGGGACTTTTCATTTTGAATTTATTTGAAGTTCGATGCTTTTGGTATTTTATTTTTTTTTTAATTTTTGATCGAGGTCGTGAAAAACCAACTTTGTTTAAGCAAAACACCGATTGATATAAGAAAATTAAAATACTTCGACGCAAATGTAATCAAAATATTGGTTACATGGTATTGACATAACCTCTAATGATTTTATTGACTGATATTGAACAGTTCTAATGGATCTAAACTGCAACCAACTCTAACAAGTCTGCTTCATTTGTAAATTTGTTTTTCTAGAATACCTAAATTTTTACATTTCATCCGGTATCCATGTAGTTTGTGTACAATATCGTAATTCTAGAAATATATATATGCAATCATTTCAATCTTGAATTTTGTTCAATATGCAGATACAGGATACAGTATATTGGTGCTCACGCTGTTTTATTTCTCAAATAAAAAAGTAAAAACCTCCTTTATCACCTTCTTTCGATTGTACTGCAAGACTTCCTTGTGTCTGCATACTAGTACTTGTATCATTTTCTGTCTTAATAATTTCTAAAGAAATGAATAGTTATGATAAACATTGAACTGGTATCATACAATATGGTCATGTTCAACAATAACAATTTGAGAGTATGCTTATTTGTATATATATATTTTCTTTTTTACTATTGATATATAGCCTTTTTATTGTTCGTGCTCTTCTTGTATGTTCTCTTATTTATCTTTGGTATGTCAAGGGATTGAGATTTTGAAAGGTAAGTTGGTTGATTTCTATAGCAAACTTTTATGCCATATATTTATTTGCCTGTTGCATTGCATCAATATATTCAGTAGTTTTATTTCATACTTTCGTGTTGTTTTATTTTATTTCTAGTAAATGTTAAAAGGGGAAATAAGTTTCTTAATTATTTAAAACAGCATGTATTTAAAATTAACCTCTTTTTTGTTTTCTGCATTCTTTTTAGGTGACCTGATCTGTCGTTGGGTAAAAACATTAACAGTCGACTTCAGGTAAATAGTACGGACGAAAAAAAGGACAAACAACGATGCCATATTATTTTGAATACGCTGTATATTGATATATATTTTCTCCAATTAGGAAATACCAAGCTGTATACCTGTGTTGTTTAACGTTTATAGAAGAAAACAATGAAACAGTTTAATTCAAGGACACCTTCAGATTAATTAACACTTTTCAATTGGAAAGAGTGATCAGAGCTTTCTTTTGTGTGCCTCTCTTGATATATTGATTAGATCCGTGTTATATGCTAGCATAAGCCTTATGCTAAAGGGAAACTGGTAATAAATATTTCGTAACAACTATCTAAAGCTACAAGGTGTAATATTATCGTATTTGCGTTTAATTGTTCATTCCTAGTTTATTCATGGCTAGTTTGAAAATATATACGAGGCTGATAAATTTTGAGAATATTAAAAGCAAAAATAATAAAAGATTACCATATGCTATCGGTATCGGGAACAAGAAGGTAATGGTCACGCCAACAATGATATAGAATTCTTCATCTAAAAAGTAACAAAAACATTTTGAACGAGAAAGAACAATAATCACTGATTGTTTCACTTCAACGTGTGTTTCCATTTTAAAACTAAAATGTCCTCAAGTCAAATACGTTATAGCTTAATGTACTGAAATGATCTGTTCACAGTTTCAGTATTACAACTAAACAAAGGATCGCGTGATCAGTGATCACAATATTGTTTCTAATAAAAGGTGATGTTACCTTTTTATATTATGTCTATGATGAATGATCACAAGGCGAGCGATAATTAATTTTGTTTCTTAATTTACTTTTAATTAATATAGTATTTTCCGGTGAAAATTGAAATATTTTCTAAACCAAATAAGTACATGTGGTGTTTTTGATGAAATAACGTTCAATTTTCTTGTTCATCAACATATATGTTAGTGATATTTTCAATTATTGAATTTTCAGAATTACAAATAAGAGTTATCAGGAACTTACTAAGACTATGGTGATGATAACAGTTATAACATACATTGTAAGTATAATGATATATACTAGTATATCATAATTAGACGTTACCTTTACAAATGTTATTATCCACTGCTCCTTTTATAACTGGTAACAGAAACAGGGCCAAAATTATAAAAATTATAAATATTCTAATATATCTTGTTCCTGGAAAGATATAATGAATTTACATTAAGTGTAAACATAAATTTATAGATAGGACGGTAAATGTGTAATACCTCATGCCTCAAAATATCTAAACGCAATCGGACAAACTTGGCTATAGTAATTGAATAGCGATTTCAAATCTTTTGTTTACGTTCATTTTTAAAAATTATAGTGCGGCGTTTAACATCGCACGAATACTCATACATGACAGAGCGACCAAAGCGGCACGAGTTTTCACGGAACTCTTTGATAAATAACGGTACATCTTTGCATGAACGATTAGCATATTCTAATTCAAAAATAAGAAGTCATTGATAATGTAAATGATTTTATGCGTCATATTGTCAGTTTGCAATTCCAGTGTACTAAGCATACATATATTACAATATAATGAGTACAAGAATTACATTAGGTTGAAAACAGTTGGTAATATAGCGTAACAGTAATCCGATATGTGTTTATCTTCAACTATCATTTGTATGCTACTTTGTGTTTGAATTCTACTTCAACAACGACAACGAATAAGACGAATTGTGTAACTCTTGATTAACCCGTTATCACATTTTGCAATTTTATGGGAATCTCTAAATTTGTACAATATTTGAAAGTTTGAAATGTTTCCTTCACTGGTTTGTCTGTATTTGATGAATGTAATTTACACATTATGCTGTACATGCAAGTAAGGAAATGATGTGCAATCCACCCATAATGCTTTCCCCCCTAATACAAAGAGGATTTGATGACAGTAAAGCATTGTTGCTGACGACAAAAATACACATGCCTGTACCTTTAATGATTCATTATTTATTATATACCTCTTTTGAATCTTTCAGAATTCAATTTAGTTTTTTTGCCACAGTGACTTCCATGTCCTTTCTAGAAAATAATCATATTTTAAATAAGAACCAAATATCTTCGTACATAAGCATGTCGGAATATTTTAACAAACATTTGTTTTTTAATCTATATTACTTATGGTGTTCATGATATCAATAACGCTCAACATTATTGTTTTTTGGCCTTCCAACGCTTTAGATTTTAGCGCCACTGATACGTCGTATGTAGACGAAACGGATGTCTGACGTACTTAATGATTAAATCAGTTTTTTTGACGGGACAATACAATCTTGTCGTTGTAAATTCCACATCATAAACTACATACCTATGTTGAATCTTTCAGAAGTCAATTTTCGTTTGAACCACAGTTTCAGTGACGTCTGTTTTCTTTCTAGAAACAAATGTTCAAAAATCAAATTTTATGCAGATCAAAATTAGATTAGTAATAGATAACAATAATCTATCAAGAATATACAAAATGAAGATATCAAAATCTTAGCGAATCGCATGAACTCAAACAGAACAGGAATGTGTTTATCGACAGTGTCTATTGCTATGCATGCATTTACTGCTATCAATGGTCTAGTCAAAATTTAAACCAGGATACATTTACAGTTTAGACAACGTTTCTGGTAACTTAATATCCAGGACAAAGACACATAGTATTTGTCAACCGATTCGTGATATTGATGATTAAATTTACGTAGAGTCGATTTCATTTGTAGTTCCTCATGATTCTTTCGGAACAGTTTTTTTTGCGTCTAGAGCTAACCCCGATCAATTAAATTCATATTACATGTATACTATGAGCATATACGCGCTTAATGCATCGATATATGTTCGTTTATCTTTATATATATCAGTAACACGTTAAAAATATAGAGCAGACCTTTTAGTTTGTGAAGTATTCTTGCTGCCAAGATCCTCTGTATATATGATTATGCATGCATAGCAGGATATTCTGCAGACGACATATGCAATGAAAACCGAAAATTCAAGAAATTTGCAGTAATAAATGAAGGAAAATATGTCTATCGTCATGGCATACTAGTATATATCATTATACTTACAATGTATGTCCGTTCAATATGGAAAGTGGTTGGATGTCATCATTAACATTTTTTTTATATATTGATGAATATTGTTGAATAAATGACATGACAAATAATCAGCCAAATTTCAAATTTTTAATTTGTTTGTTGTATATATCCTTAATATTTATGAAGTATAAAAAAGAAAGAAAACTGTAGTAGTGTATTCATTGCACACTTTGATTATGCAATACTTACAGAATAATGTTGGAAAATTTGTCTGTTGAAGTACAATGTAACTACATATTTGTCGTAAAAAGACGATAACGCATCTACGACATCCGGCTTTTGCGAATGGTTAAATACCTAGTATTTCATAGCTGCGCTTCTGAATGCATAATCGAACCGCTTTAAGCTATTTAGAATCTAGTTTTATAGTCTAAGTGCATCTAACGTGTACTTACCCACGTTTTCAAAATAGTCCTCAACTGCATTGGTTTGTTTCTAATCATCATGTGATGCATTGATATAACTGGTTTACAATTCATTTTCATAAAACAAAACAGTCATCTTTGCACATAATAAAAGCTTAACATTTCTTACCAATGCATTTAACACGACAAATTACAATTAAGCATAGACAGGAAAATATGGGACAGGAGAAACCGATCATTGTATATGCCAAATACGACTGCCAACATCGTTGATCTTAAATAAAAGTGATATACTAGATAAAAACATGTAACATACAAACTTCGTGTCAAATTCTAAATTGATTATGTTACCAATCTTTGCTTTCAAACTGTGACATTGGAGTATAACATTTTAAATTTCTAAATTGCTTCTTCAACTCTAACATGTCTAATATAGATAATACAACATTAATAGTCGAAATGCAAATTTAGTACGGTAAAAATGATACCGTTAATGTTATTTTACTTTCCAAATTGTTTTGAAAGAATCATTATTCTTGATGGTCTTTGATTATATTAAAAAGCAAAATAACAAAAATAAAGACCTGCGAGGAAAACTCAAAACGGAAAGTCCCGAATCAAAATCAGTCTATTGAAGAAGCGAATCGATAAAAACGTTTCTTATATGAAATAACGATATTGTCTAATATGGACGAATTGCCTTATGGGAAATCTCAGACGATTTTTTACATATGTATAAAGAAATGAAGATTTCTGGGTAAGTAATGATTATTCTTCTTAAAATAGGGTAACATTTAACACGACAAACGTCTGCCTGTATTACTATCATGAATTGTGTAATATATAATAACAACCAAGTTGTATTAATACGAGACAATTGATAAGTTGACTAAATGAAACATAAATGCACGATTTATCATTTGTAGATGTACACATTCAATTAATATCATTTAGCAAAATTAGTGGAATTCAATTTCGATAAATTAATTGTTTTCTAAACCAAAAGCACCTATAATTCAATGATACTGCTATTTTTTGTAATATGAATGCGATATTTTTCTTAAATAACAGCGATGTGTTTTTTATATGAAAAAGTAATGAATGCAATATTTTTCTTATATAACTGCGATAGTTTTCTCATATAAAATAAATACGATAACAAGTCACAATGTAAGTCAAGAAACCCGGAAACATAATTCACAATAAAATTTCGTTAGCGCCAAAATAATCTTTCATTTGCGCAACAAACAATATTTCATTTGCGCCAAAATAAAACATTTTATTTGCGTCAATAATACAGGTAAATACAGGTAATTGTGTAAAAAATAGTTTTATTCAAAAAAGACTTTTAATAATAACTTTAAAACACAGTTTTTGATTGTATAATAAAACATATTTCTCCGAAATCAGTCATAGTAACCATAATAAAACCACTATACACTGATACGTTCTTAATAGGAGGCTTTCTTAATAATGTTAAAACACAGTTCTGTTATGAATTAACGAGATCTTAAAAACTAAAAGAATGCACTATACACTGGAGTAAACCCAAACGTTTGTTCTGACATAAGACTCGTAAGCAACGGCTCGGATGTACTTATTTACACTGGATAACCTACATGTGTGGTTATAAAAAATTACAGACTTATTTCCTCTATATACAAATAAGGAGATGTGGTTTGATTGCAAATGAGACAACTATCCACCAAATTTCAAATGAAGTGGATGAAAGCCATCATAGACAACCGTACGGCCTTCAAAAATCAATTCCGTATAGTCGGCTATAAACGGCTCCAACATGAGAAATATGAAACTATCAAATTCTGAGAAAAATTAACGGCCTGTTTGTCTCAGAATTGACAATTTCAATCTTAACAGCTTCAGATACGACGAATGAAAAATATCGTCAAACGGAAGATGTATTTATTATTAACATCGAAAAACTTGTTGACAAAGAAAACAGGTCTTATTGGATATCAAAGACTTTTTCCCGTTGTAAAGATGCTAACAAAAACATTTTGACGTTGATCAGTGACCTTAAAACTGCTTATTTAAAACATACAACGTTACTTATAGTGACATTAAAAAAATACTGCTATCATATTTTAAAAGAATCGCATTCATATCAGAATTTATAGCATTTGTTTATTTGTGTACATAAAAAACACAGCACCTCAAATTTTACACGGACATAAACTTTTGTTTTTAACTAACTATTGAATATATATTTAGACTTAATTGTTGTTTGTATTTGAACAATATGTTTTAAAGTTGGTATTTGCTTAACAAAATATATTTTTCATCGCCAAAACAACTTTTTCCTCATGGAGTGTCTGCATTTTTACAATTTCATATTAGACACTATCGCAATTTCATATAGGAAACGTTTTTATCGATTCGCTTCTACCATAGATTGAAAATGCAAAATCAAAACCTCAAACACATCAAACGAATGGACAACAACTGTCATATTCCAGACTTAGTACAGTCATTTTCTTATCTAAAAATTGGCGGATTAAACCTGATTTTATAGCTTGCTAAACCTCTCACTTGTATGACAGTCGCATAACAATGTGTGAACAAAATAGATATAATAGGTATCAATGTCAAAATTAGGGGTACAGCAGTCAACATTGTGTTATAATCTTAATCATTATAAAACAATCAAATATATCAACAAGGAAAACCAAAAAGGTATATAGACAAAGCACATTATCAGAAACTAACGACAAAATTATAAAAAAAATACCATAGCACATGTACAATAATACAATGAGCCACGTCAAATGGATATTACTAAAAATAGACTTTACAGTAAAAGTAATACTTTGCAAAGACAAATAAAAGAACACTATAACACGTAATTAAGATGATAAACAACGTCAGTTCCTATTATTTATACTTCAAGACCATCGTAAATTATTTGTGAAGTTGATCAACTCTCACTCCATATTTGTTTTACATCAAAGCTACCTAATTATTTAAAAGATAAACAACAAGGTTAGGCAGGCATACTGTTGACGGTTTTATATAAATGTTATGAGATTGTAGTTGTCAATACACATTGCTCACATAGGGATCATGGTGAATAATATATCTAAATCTAGATCTACAAAGATGTGTGCATGGGAACATTGTGGCAGAGGTAAACGAATTCCAAGTGAATGACAAATATTCCCATATATACCAGAATTAACGTTGTGTACGCCTGATGTGTGTTTCGTCTACACATAGCTCATCATTGACACCAAAAGGCCACACACAGTACAATTTGAAAAGCATAGAAGAACAAAACATACGAAAGCTTTTTGGAAATACAACTGAAGTTCTATTCATTAGGTAGAAAAACCTGTGTATTTCGAAAATTAAAGTTTTCATAAACAGTTTATTTATAATTATGACCATATCAATGATGATTCATTTCAACACAGAAGTGCTGACTACTATGCTGGGGCTTAAACCAGTGTAAGTAATGATCGCAACCAGAAAAATCTTTTTTTTTTTATATCTACCTGTATGTAATGTGTTTTATAATATTTTAATGATTATTTCACAGACTAAAAACACAAAATTTTGATCAGCGGTCATCAGATTGATTTTCTATACATTATGTCTTCTTTGAGTTGAGTTCCTTGTTGTTTCATCAAAAAGAGATGTCGTGTGCAATTAATACATTGTTTAAAATTTCATTTTTTTTGGGTCTGTTTTTAATCAGTTAGATATTTGTATATACAAAAATTTACATTTTACTAACCTTTATTTTTTTTCGAACCTGTAACGTAAAAAGATATTTTGTTTTGTTTCTTATGATTAATCAAAGAGTCAGTATAGATAAATACAAGTCATAGTTATCCATAGTTTTCCCAGTTTCGACGATTAAGAGATTGCCATATATATAAACAGGCACTTTTCATTATTTAAAAAATTGAAAGTACTAAATTATTTTTATATCATAGGTTAAATAGCGTTATTATGGCACGTTTTCCAGAAGTCTTGGTATCTAAAGTCTTGTTGATGTGTGCATCGTACATTAGCCATCGTTTATATCAAGAGAAAGTATAGCGAGTCCTTAATACATACAAGATTTGACAAAATATGAAAAACAACTTGAATACTTTTATCTTTCCATTAGAAATGTCTGTTTGATTTTTTTCTGTTATTGGAAGGGATGAAATAAACGAACGTTTTAATAGGACCAAATGTTCAATTGATTCAGTAAACGATATTCGATTATTGTTTCTTTTGGTGGGGTTTAAGGTCTTTCGAGATTTCCAAGAAGATTTTAATCGTATTTTTCGCCGACAAAATTGCACTGCCAGTAACAAAGCTAATGTGGGTGTTATAACTGGTTGAAAGTCTTTTATTTATTCTGATAATAATACTCAAAATGTCTAGTAAAGATGTCCCTCGTGTGTCATTGATATTTAAAAAAAAATTTTAATACATGCAGAGCTAAACATGCTAAATTTAGTCGTGCAATAACACAAATTTCCAGAATATTCGGTACTCTCTACAACTTGAAGATCATAAATTTATCTTGCCTTCCCACTATTTTAAAACGACCTTCACTGATGAGTCTTATAACTGACAACAGAGTTAATAACTACACGACCCATATAATTGAGTTTCCTAAGAATTTATCGGCTTTCTTGCTACTTCAAAAATAACTGATGACTGTGTTTCATGCTTATGAAACACACTTCGGGGCCTTTTAAAGCTTACAATGAGATATGGACTTTGCTCATTATTGAAGTCCGTAAGTTGACCTATACCTGTTAATTCATTGTGGAGAGTTGTCTCATTCGTCACCATTTCTTCTTTATTTTATATATGATGACTTAATTGCGTTATTGAATAACACGATTTGTAATGGTTAAGTAAGTGTTTAAGTCAAAAGTACAGATGATTCAATATATGATTGATAACGTGTTTTGTGTACTAAAGGTAAGCATTAAATCGTCCGATGATGCAAGTATAGCGAAAGGAATCAACAGGAACAATTGCTAAACTAGAAGTATAATTTCAAACATCACCATAGTCGAAAAGAAACAAAATCGATCCTAATTACAAATATAACTTTAAGCAACACGAACCTCACAACAAACAAGGGGAAGTTAGCAGCTAATGATTAACAACATTTATTACATTAGTAGCCTCGTTGTGCTTCTCATTTCAAGTAAATATTTGGCAATCAGTCGAATTCGGAAATGCCTTGAAAACTTGAAAAAAGGACGAAATGTTGGTTACGATGAGTGGAAAATTTTATTTCTTGATAAACTGT